TCTGTATCGTTCTCTCGGATTGTCCGTCTGTCTGAGGGTGGAAAGTGGTGCTAAACTTTAATTCTGTACCCATTGCTCCCTGTAGACTCTGCCAGAATCTAGCTACAAACTTCGGATCTCTATCTGATACTATTGAAACTGGAACACCATGGAGTCTCACAATTTCATTCACACAGATTACAGAAAGTTTATCCGCATTGTACTGAGTTTTCACAGGTAGAAAATGGGCGGACTTAGTTAACCGGTCTACAATGACCCATATAGCGTTCATACCCCAAGGAGTCCGTGGTAACCCTACCACAAAATCCATGGTCAGATGTTCCCATTTCCACTCCAGGATTAGAAGGGGTTGCAATACCCCTGCCAGTCTCTGATGCTCTGTCTTTACTTGTTGACATTGCAACATTTAGAGATGAAATCCACGATCTCTTTTTTCGTACTTGGCAACCAAAAATTTTGTTTCAAATCCTGATACATTTTAGTACTCCCAGGATGCATTGAAAATCTCGAGGCATGTCCTTCTTCCATCAATTTCTGTTTAAGTTCTGACACATTGGGAATACATAATCTGCCATGAAATTTGAGTACTAAATTCATCAAATTAAATCCCAGTCTCGGTTTTGTTTTGGACTCATCCTCGATCTTCTTTAAAAATTCATCTTCCATTTGTCTCTGCTTAATTTCTTCAATTAATATTGGTTGGACTGTTACAGTTGCAACCATGTCATCCCGTTCATCTATCACAAAGTCTATATTCATTTTCTGTAAACTGACTTGCCACATTTCCCATACCTTTCTGACTAAGTGCATCTGCAACTGTATTGGCTTTACCGGGATGGTAACGAATCTGCAAATCATAGTCTTTAATAAGTTCTAACCACCGCCGCTGACGCATATTCAACTCTTTTTGGGTAAAGAGGTACTTAAGACTTTTATGATCAGTAAAAACTTCACATGTAGTACCATACAGATAATGTTGCCATATCTTTAAAGCAAAAACCACCGCTGCTAGCTCAAGATCATGTGTGGGGTAGTTCTTTTCATGGGGTTTAAGTTGGTAAGAGGCATAGGCAATGACCCTCCCATTTTGCATGAGTACACAACCTATCCCTTTATAAGAAGCATCACTGTAGATCACAAATCCTTCGGTACCCGATGGTAAGGAAAGAATCGGTGCTGTAGTTAATTTTGTTTTCAATTCCTGAAAGGCAGATTCCCGCTGTTCTGACCATTCAAACAAAACACCATTCTGAGTCAATTGGGTAAGTGGTACGGCAATTTTGGAGAAGTCTTTAACAAACCTTCGGTGGTACCCTGCTAATCCCAAGGAACTACGCATCTCGGTCACATTAGTGGGGGTTGGCCAATTCACAATAGCTTCAATCTTGTGTGGGTCAACAGAAACGCCCTCCTTCGTTATAATATGTCCCAAGAACCCCACTTCATGTAGCCAGAACTCACATTTCTTCAACCTTGCATACAATTTCTTGTCTCGAAGTGTCTGAAGAATTAAACAAAGATGGCTTTCATGAGCTTCCGTATCTTTTGAATAAATGAGGATGTCGTCGATAAATACTACTACAAACTCATCCAAGTAAGGCTTGAAGACACGATTCATTAAATCCATGAATGCTGCCGGTGCATTGGTGACTCAAAAGGGCATAACCAAGAACTCATAATGACCGTACCGGGTTTGAAAAGCAGTTTTCTCAACATCCTCAGCTTTGACCTTCAGTTGGTGATACCCAGACCGTAGATCAATTTTCGAAAAGACTTGTGCCCCTTGTAGCTGGTCAAATAAATCATCGATCCTAGGCAATGGGTACTTATTCTTGACTGTTACTTTATTAAGCTCCCTATAATCCACACACAATCGAAGGGTCCCATCTTTCTTCTTCACAAAAAGGACTGGTGCGCCCCAAGAATAAATGCTCGGGCGAATGGACCTTTTGTCAAGTAAATCTTGCAACTGAACTTTCAACTCTTTCATTTCAGCCGGTGACATCCTGTAAGGAGTTTTGGAAATGGGTTGAGTTCCCGGTACTATTTTAATTGTAAACTCAATTTCACGATCCACTAACTCTCCTGGTAACTCTTCTGGAAAAACATCCGGAAAGTCACGGACGATTAGAATTGCATCAATACACCCGGTCATTGATTGCCCCTCTAAGACGCTACACAAATACCCCCGACACCCTTTCTGTAATAATTTGCATGCCTTCATTGCAGAAATTAGGTAAGGTGGAGAAATCACTCCATGCCCCTTAAAAGTAAACTCCGGCTGTCCCGGGGGGTGAAAAATAACATGTTTGGACGTACAATCAATAGTCACACAATGCTTGCTTAACCAGTCCATTCCCAAAATTACATCAAAGTAAACCATGTCAAGAGGTAATAAATTGGCATACACCCAGACATGCCCAATTAAGAGTTCACATGCAAGGTAGATAAATGTACAAACTATAGGATCCCTCAAAGGTGAAGACACACACAACATATAAGGTAATGGTTCCATAGGTCTATTTAAATGGCGGACAAATGTTTTTGACACAAAGGAGTGGATAGAGCCTGAATCAAATAACATATGAGCAGAATGACCATATATAGAAATTGTACCCGATACTACCGCTTCAGCATTTTGCATGTCACCCGGAACCAACGCAAACTCTCTTTCTTGCCTAGTGGTGTCTT